CTGTCTTCTCGCTATGTGGCAGGGAGAGAGAGAGTAAGCGAGCAAAAGGGAACATAGTGTCTTTTCTTACCAGGGCACTAATGTCATCATGAGGACCTCACCCTAACAATTTCATCTAACCCTAATTACCTCCTAACGGCCACATCTTCAAATACCCCCACGTTGAGGGTTGGGGCTTCAACATATACATTGTGGGGGAGGTGGTAACACAATCATTCATTCCATAAAAATGTAGCTAACAAGATTAAACATGTGTGTCGCATTTACTCTTCTAAGTGCTTTACTTAGAAGTATATGAACTCATCTAATCCTTGAACAAGTCTAAAAGGAGACAATGACTTTATCCTCATTTTACAGATGAGGAGATTAAGTAACTTATCCAAGGTCACATCGGTTGGGGATGCAGAGCCTGGTTTCCAACCCAGGCAGTCTAGCTCTAGGGTCTGTGTTCTCAACCTCGATGTGAAAAGTAATTGACATACTCCATCGTTGAAACTTCCTCCAATTAAAACAAATAAGAAATTATTTGTAATGACTGCATTAGCATAAAGAAAAATACAGGTTGGATTCATGATGACATATTCATTACCATTATTATATTTCTTTTTCCATCTGATTTTAAAATAAATTGAAATAAAAACATTTTTGTGGACCCCTAAAAGTGTCCTGGGGCCCGACACTATTCCTAATGGAGAAGTCAACTTTGGTGGCAGTGGGTGCTGTCAGGAGCGTGAGGGATTGAAGAGAGTCAGGTGTGAAAATGATGGGAGTTTTAGCAGCCTGGGAAGCTGTGCCCGTGCTCTGGGGACAGCAGTTGTTCAGCTCCAGCCCACTACTAAGAAGTGGAGGGAGGTCAGAGAATGAGCGCTTAGTATTGACGAACCGGCAAATGTTCCAATTTTAGACAAGAAGCCAAGAATTCAAATCCAAACATTCTTTTCAGTCAATTTGGTTTCTACAAGCACTATATGAAAGAAAGAAAGGAAGGAAAGGAAAGGAAAGGAAAGGGAAGGAAAGGGAAGGGAAGGAGGAAGGAAGGAAGGAAAAAAGAAAGGAAAGGAAGGAAGAAGGGAGGGAGGGAGGGAGGGAGGAAGGAAGAAGGGAGGGAGGGGAAAGAAAGAAGAGGGGAGGGAAGGGGAGGGGAGGGGAAGAGAAGGGAAGGGAAGGGAGAAAAGAAGAGAAGAGGGGGGAGGGAAGGAAGGAAAGAGGCAGGCAGGCAGGAAGGAAGTAAGTAAAGAAGTAACAAAAAAGGGAGGAAGAGAGGGAGAAGAAGGACAAAGCACCACATTTGGTAAAGGAAATGGGCTTTGGGGTCAGATATGCCTTGGCTGGTCTACTTGCTAGGCATGTACCTTGGGCAACAGATTTCATTTCTCTAAATCTCATTTTATCATCTGTAAAATGGGAATAGTACTAGAACGCACTTTTTCCACCAGGATGTGGGTATTGAATGCGAATTAGATTTGCATGTCATTGTTTAAGTACAGTGGCATTTCAAACCCAAACAGGAACTTGCAGATCAGATTCCAGTGCTTTCTGGAGCTAGAAAAATGGTATATATGGGCAAACAAACCAGATGGGGCCTGTGGCAGACTGGAGAGCTCAGACCCATCTCAAGGGGAAGCTGCTTGGCTAATTCTTGCCATCTGGGGATGTGGCCCATGTCAGACACATCTCCCATTTTAAATAGTGGTTAGGAATCTGGATTGTTTGTGAAATGTCTCGTTTATGTTTTTAATCTTAGTAATAGATTCCTATTTTTGAAAATACAAAATGGGCTGAATGATACATGCCTGCAAACTGGACAAGGCCCAGGTGGTCACCAGTTCATGGCCTGCCCTGAACAGAAGGCGAGTGTCTAGACAGTGTCTTCCTGTCTTGTAGGTGCCCTGGTGGCATCTGTAGATATATCTGCAGTCCAATAGCGGCTATGTTCTTACAGATCAGGTTGGAATATTAATTTAGTGATATAGCTCATATAAGAAAATAAGAATTTTTTAATCAGTTGGGTCCTGGAAATCATGACTGGCAATGTCGGTCTGGAAACTGAAGATGTCACCAGGAAGAAAGGACAAAGATGTGTGAGGGATGGAGCAGGGAACAGATTGATTTTTTTTTTTTAATGGAAAAGAATAAAAGAGGATGAAATAAAAGAACAAAAGATTCAGACATGCAAATCATAGTACTCTAGAGAAATTTCTAGGCCCAGAAATCATGAGGAAAATAATGTTAGCTTCTTTTTCCACTTTTTCCAGTAAGATTTTTCATAAGGGTAGGAAAGTGCTTCTCTTAGAGAATTTTACAGCTGAACAGAACTAAAGAGATCTTTAGTTTTCAACTTAAAATTTTTTTTTTTGAAGTAAAGAAAATAAGGCCTGCAGTGAAGAAATGAGTGGTCCATGGCCATGGCACTTGTGAAAATTCTAAATGCGTATGACGTAAAGCCAGAGCTTTGCTTGAGTGAGATAGACCAGGTGAGAGGTTCTACAGAATGGTGGAAACAGGCAAACCAGCCAAGGTCTGGCCTGCTTAAAGGGGGCTTTGTTACCCAGCTGTAGCCAACTGTTCTTAGCAGAAAGTGGGCCCACCATAGACAGATCTAACTTTTTTTTTTTTTTTTTTTTTTGAGATAGTCTCACTCTGACGCCCAGGCTGGAGTACACTGATGTTATCTTGGCTACTTCTATCTTCATCTAGTAGGTTCAAACGGTTTTCCTGCCTCAGCCTCCTAAGTAGCTGAGAATACAAGTGTGCACCACCATGCCCAGCTAATTTTTGTATTTTTAGTAGAGACGGGCTTTCACCATATTGGCCAGGCTGGTCTCGAACTCCGGACCTCAGGTGATCCACCCACCGTGGCCTCCCAAAGTGCTGGGATTACAGGCATGAGCCATTGCACCCGGCTGGCAACAGATCTAACTTTTGGAGGCAAGAGAAAAATATCAACTTTGAGAATGCAATCCCTCAATTTTTAAAAACTGTCAACAAATTCAAAAGTTTAAAGCACATCATGCAAACCAAAAAAAAAACACATGTGAGGTCCACATTTGGCTGGGAAACTGCCAGTCTGTGACTTGCATTAAAGAATCTTCCAGGGTCCCACGCATTTTCTGACAAAGTAGTTCTCACCTCACTTCCTGTCAAGTGTTTACTTAAGTAAAGGAACCCTTAGTGCGATCATTTTCTTAACTCTTCATCCTCAAGAAGGACCTTCAGTAAAGTCAGTATTTTAGTATTTTACTTCGGTTTCCTATATTTTACTTTGGTTGCCTTCATTATTCACCAGTTTGTGCTTGTTCAGCCAGAAATTCAGGAACCACAGGAAAGCTGTTAATTAAAAGAACTTAAACTTTCATCCCAGCACTGTTCACTGTTTTTCATTAAAGAATTTTCTCTTCATAGTAAACTAAAGAGAGGATGTTCAGAGTCCAGGTTCATGAGCGGCAGGACTTTTTCTTTTTCTTTTTTCTTTTCTTTTGCTCGGCAGAGCCCCAAAAATAGAATTGCAAAAATACAATTTGGTAAATCTTTAATGCCCAAGTACTACTCCTTTCCCTAACTAAGTCAGCCACCGGAACCATTTCTGCCTCTGCTCATGACACTGACCAGGAGGCTAAGCCCGTGTTTTATGCACGGCTGATTTTATTTCTCAATTCATTTTGAGCATCTTTAATGCAAAACAACAAGAAAAACAGCAGCAAAACACCCAGCTAGATTATAAACCTTTTCTCCCAAATTTTAATGCAAACCTGAAGAACGAGTCAGAGATGACTCGCAAACTCATGAACTTCGGTTTCTGGTGAAGACCATCATTTAAGACAAAGCCAGTTCTCCAAACAATGGGTTTCCCTATTTAGTGAACAAACATGTTTACTTCAAAATGCTAATCAAAAAAGTCCTTGAACAGACATTGTCTTCCCCAAAATTACTAAAATAGTTATCATGTTTCAAATTATTTACAATAGGAAACGAAATTATAATAAAATAATCAAGGATCAGAATCTAACTGATTTTTCACCTACTAAAATTTGGGTCACAAATTATACACACATACACACAGACACACACACACACACATCCCTACACACACATATACATACACATCTCCAAGACACGAGATAGTAAGCATGGGAAAATTTGCCAAATGTCCTAGTGGATTGATCAACAAACAGCCCAGGTAATTCTGCATTTCTTCTTGGTCGAAGCTACTTTTTCTTCCTAACTTCTCACTCAGACTAGGTACAACTAAAATGTAGATAAGTCAGTCACTTTATCTGTGTTTTATTTAAGCAGTACAGTGGTTGGGTGCATGAATGCTAAAGCCAGCGTGCCTGGGTCAGATTCCTGGCTATGCCACGGTTACTGGTAGCTTACTGTGGAGTTGGTAAGACGGGGATGTGGAAATAGTAGTGTCAATTTGTAACTTGGTTAGGAGGATTACATGAATGTATAGAACATTGCCTGGCCCTGCATACAAATTCAAGACTTTGAGCTCAGTTAGTCTGGAGAGCTAGCAGATCTTCGAATCCCCAACTGAAACCCCTGCCCTGATGAACGTTCATGCACGCTTTGACTGCCTTTCAGGGATGCATAGACCTTCTCTGCCTCCCTTACTCCCCAGGCTCAGGTCCTCTACTCTAGAAAACACCTAAAGGAACCTGGGGAGGTGAGTTACGTATGAAAACCACTTTAGTCCTCCTCAGGACACCATGCATCTTTTCTGAGCCATGGCAAAATAAATAGGTAAACAGGTGTTGTTAGAGGGCACTAGGCCTGGTTACTTTTTCAATGAGGCTTGAAAGTTGTATTTTGTTTATTAGGAAGGAAAGAACTGGATCTTTCCAGCGGGTGATTCATCATCTGGTTCCTTCAGGGGAAGAGAGGGAGTAGCTAGAGAGAACGGATGTCCAGCCTGGGGCCTGCTTTGCTCAGCAGGAACCTCAGGAAGGCAGGCTTCTTCCTCCTGACATTTCCAGCACTCCTCACGGGCACTCCGGAGAGGGACCTCTGAATCATCGCTGTGTCTAGACACATCAAAGGGCAAGCTGCCTGTTTCTCAGGCTCACCAAACCCAGTCAGGAGCACTAATGCGGCAGGTCTCCCTCTGAATCACTCAGACCAGAGGGAGGGCGCGGAGAGGTGAGCAGGTTCACCCGGCTGGATTCGCTCTTGGGCGCAGGCAACATTCCTCCCTGGGGAAGGCAAAGTCATGTTGCCTCTTGCCAAAGACAGTCAGGTAAGGAGACACTGTTGATTTTGTCTCTGCCTCCTGGTGCCAGAGCAGACCCAGCAGGGCTTTGAAGATGTGGATGAGGCGTAAGCCTTGACGAGGAATGTGACCGTCATTCACCAGTGTAGGCACTCAGTAAATACCTGGGGCATGAATTCAAGGGAACACTACCCTGCAAAATGGGCCACTCACTTCAGACAGTTAATTAAAAGAAACATTTAAAAATTCCAAGAGCAGGAAAGTTAAAATAATTGCTTTGGGTTGCTCTTCGGAAGCCTAATCCAACATACAGTTAAATTTTAGACTTCCTCACTATTCTTCACAAATTTCTTTTCTTCAAACTCGTGTTGCTCTTATATCTGAATGTTCTACTACATGCTATAATAGATTTGATTTCAACCACATCCCACACAAAATCATATTTACACACACACAGACATACATATACACATATGTATATGTATACAGTTGATTATGGACATCGTTTTCTGCTTTGTAGATACTTTATTAAACATCTATTATGTGTGATATTGATATTTCCTTTTCACACATTAGAACTATTTTGTTTTCAGGTCTGAAACATTTTGTTTTTTTTTTTTGAAACGGAGTCTCGCTCTGTTGCCCAGGCTGGAGTGCAGTGGTGTGATCTCGGTTCACAGCAACCTCTGCCTCCTGGGTTCAGGCAATTCTCCTGCCTCAGTCTCCCAAGTAGCTAGTATTACAGGTGCCCGCTCCACTAATTTTTTTGTATTTTTATTAGAGATGGAGTTTCACCATGTTGGCCAGGCTGGTTTCGAACTCCTGACCTCAAGTGATCCGCCCACCTCGGCCTCCCAAAGTGCTAGGATTACAGGCGTGAGCCACCCTGCCCAGCCAGGTCTTAACCGTTTTTGTAGGCCCTGTGAAATTCTGATCCTGAATTAAATAGTCCTAACATTGTAGAAATGAATAACCTTTAATGGAGTATATGATTTTTATGGCCTCATCAATAAATGGATTTATTCTTGACATTCTTCTAAGGCTAATCACTCCCAAGGTTTTCAGAGTTTATCTACTTGAGGTTATCGACTGGATACACTGAGGTGGTTCCATCCTGTAACTGGTTAAGTGGATACTGTACTGTTTGGGGCTGTTGAAAGGAGGAATGTAGCTTTCATTTTCTAAGCACCGCAGGAGAAATGGAGAGGAGGTCCTATATGTGCACTGAGATCCCGAAAGGGCAATTTTGAACTGAGAGGAGCGTGTACTTCAAATAGTGTGCAAATTAGGGCCAATGAGATGCTCCTTAAAATGTCATCCTCAAAGAAGGGCATCCCATTCATGGGTCTCTGTATGAGCAGCCCTAAAAAGCAAACAGCCAGTGTGGTGGCTCCTGCCTGTAATCCCTGCACTTGAGGCTGAGGTGGGAGGATCTCTTGAGCCCAGGAGTTCAAGGCCAGCATGGGCAACATAGTGAGACCCCATCTCTACACAAAACTTGAAAATTAGCAGGGTGTGGTGGAGTGTACCTGTGTCCCAGCTACCTTAGGAGGCTGAGGCAAGAGGATCCCTTGAGCCCAGGAGGTCGAGACTATAGTGAGCTGTAATTGCGCTGCTGCACTCCAGCCTGGGCAACAGAGCAAGACCTTGTCTCAAAGAAAAAGAGCAAAGACTTTCATTCCTAATTGGAACAAAAACCCCACTAAAGGCTCTGACAGCTCCTTGTAGGACTCCTGGTTGGGTAATGTTGGAAGACTAGGATTCTCCTGAGGCAGGAACTGTGTCTACTTTTCTGTCCCATATTACACTCCCCACAACAAGCACAGTGCACAGCACATAGTAGGTGCTCAATAAATCCTTTTATTTACCACTTGTCTGGAGTAAAGCATTATAATATAGTCATTACACGTGTGGCTTCGGAGCCCAACTGCTGGGGTCTGAGCCCTAGCTCTGCCACTTACCTACTGTGTATCTTTGGGTAGGTTACTTCTGCCTCTGCTTTGGTTTCCTCATCTGTAAAAGGCGGATAATGAAAGTACCTACTTCAGTGGATGGTTACACTTCCTTTACATGCATTTACCAGTTTTCTGAACATATAATACTGTTTAGATCCATGTGGACTTGATGATTCTAATTATTCATAATGCATTACACTCTTCATATTTTTGGAGTTAAAATGTATATATGTATTTATAATAATTTTGGTTATTTTCTTCTTCTTCTTTTTTTTTTTTTTTTTTGAGACGGAGTCTCGCTCTGTCGCCCAGGCTGGAGTGCAGTGGCATGATCTCCACTCACTGCAAGCTCTGCCTCCCGGGTTCATGCCATTCTCCTGCCTCAGCCTCCCATGTAGCTGGGACTACAGGCGCCCGCCACCGTACCTGGCTAATTTTTGTATTTTTAGTATAGACAGGGTTTCACCATGTTAGCCAGGATGGTCTTGATCTTCTGACCCCGTGATCCACCCATCTTGGCCTCCCAAAGTGCTGGGATTACAGGCGTGAGTCACCGCACCCGGCCCGTTATTTTCTTCTTAACAAATAGTGCAGACATTTGGATCAAGGAAAAGGAGTGTGTGTGTGTATAATTTTTTTAAATTGCTGGTAAGATGTGTCAAGCTAAGCTTTTACTATCTGTGACCTGCATATCTTTAGTTTGAGGAAACAAGTCACATTTTAATTTAATTTAATTTAATTTAATTTAATTTAATTTAATTTAATTTTACTTTGAGATGGAGTTTTGCTCTTGTTGCCCAGGCTGGAGTGCAATGGCATGATCTTGGCTCACTGCAACCTCCGCCTCCTGGGTTCAAGGAATTCTCCTGCCTCAGCCTCCCAAGTAGCTGGGATTATAAGCATGCGCCACCACGCCTGGTTAATTTTGTATTTTTAGTAGAGATGGGGTTTCTCCATGTTGGTCAGGCTGGTCTCGAACTACTGACCTCAGGTGATTCGCCCTCCTTGGCCTCCCAAAGTGTTGGGATTACAGGTGCGAGCCACCATGCCTGGCCCACATTTTATTTTTTTTATGTGAAACCGTATCTTGGTCATATCTTTAGCAGCATGGAACTGTGGAAAGATGATAACATTTGAGGAAAGGACGTGAAGGAAGAGACTTGAGTTTAAACTGGCACCTTCTGATTTCTCTGCCCCCAAAAAGTATTGATGAGTGTGTTTTAATGGTTGCCAATATGTGTCTGAAGGTTGAAGAAGAACACTCAGGCAAAAAAATAAAAGAAAAACACGTGTTTAAAGTGGTCTGTAACTGAAAGCAGCCTAGAAAAGGTCATGGAAGTAGTGCCCTGGGGTGCATTTCACCAAGGGCTACATCATCCCTTGGGGTTTGCAAAGCTGGTAGCTAAGGAGGATGAGGTAATGTAGGGATGTCCGTCTGGCACATTTCATCTCAAGAGCTGATCATCTTTAGGTCAGGAATGAACTCCTCACCCCATACAGAATATTACAGAGTTGGCCCAGGTGGACAGAGAGGAGACGGCAAAGAAATTTTGATGTTCTCGAGGCCAGGAATGTTGCCCTTATATGGGTTTCCTTGGAGGAGCTGGCTGTGCACGCAGCTTATTCCCTACTTTAGGTGTATCAAGACGTTCCCCACAATATTCAGTAGTTAATTATCCCAATCCACATTTAAGAAATAGCACAAGACACTATTACATTATCTAACAATCTCTCAGGTCACTGCAGACGATACTAGCTTTGGGACATAGGCCTCCAAGATTCCTGTGTGTAGCAGTAGCTCATTAGCCCTTTTCAAGAGAAATATTATTGTTGTCCAGTCCGAACCTTTTGAAGCCTTTTGATGCTATTCTGCCTAACACATAAAAGTCTTCTACCCAGGGAGGCATAGTATTTGGTTTGTATGGAATTGTTTCTCCAAGTAGTTACTTTATTTCCCATCAAATTTCTCCTCTGTTTTCTCCACCACTTACTGTCGGCCAATTGGATTTTTTTTTAAGATATTTTTTTTTTGTCTTCCTTAAAATTACCAGCATGGAAAAATAAACTATTCCCAAATGCGTGATGCTGTACATCCCAGAGTTCAAATGCAGTATCACTGGAGGGTGTGGTTGATGGGAAAGTAGGTAATATGTCTTGTGATAAAATGCTCCTAAGAAGGAATTTTGGCCCCATTCACAGGAGGACATTGTTTTCCTCATTTTGACTTTTTTTCTTTTTTTCCCCATCTGGACACAAAGTTCTTAGTAATTTTATCACAACCTTTATTGGGAATGGTGAGTCCTGGGCCATAATTGATTTCAGGAGGTTTGCAACTGGGCTACAAATCAAACACGTGGGAGAAAATATCTCACTAGTATTGTTGAAGCCCTTTGGTTTATGTGCTTTGGCAATAAAATCCTCAGCAGGGGAGTTCAACACCATCTTTTGGTTTCTGTTTCTAGGTTTCTTCTTTCTTGGCTTGAGGAATGGGTTAGTATGTGGGTTTGTGTAGGAGATTCAGAGAAAGAGTCTAAGATTTCGCTTAGGCTTCGTGGGGTTCACACCTTTAGATTTGGAGCCTATTTGACTGCTTTGCTTTATTTTTAAGAGTTTTTTTTTGTTTTATAAAAATTATTCTTTCTTCTTAGAGGTCATTTGTAGAGATTGCATTAAGGCTTACAGTTACAGTGTGTAATGATGACATCATTTATTTGTCTCTATGGGTAATAGGCATTCATTCCTTTTTTTTTTTTTCCCCCAGAGGGTAATGAGTTCATGTTGAAGTATATGATAGGATGTATTCTCCCTGGTTATCACAAGCAGATGCATCTTTTCATTTACTTGGAAGATCTTTCTGAAACATGACCTGTGCAAAGGACTAGGGTTATGGGAGAAATTGTAACAGACAAGGCTGCTGTTCTACAGAAGCCCTTCGTCTAGTGGTGGTGGGGGCACAGATGAGCACGCAGGAAAATGCAGAAAGATAAATGCTAAAGAAGGAGGCCTTGCCCAGCCTTGGGCCTCAGGGAGGCCTCAGGGAGGCCTCAGGGAGGGAGTGACAGCTAAGGGGAGATCGGAGGGGCAAGCAGGAGAGGGACAGGTAAAGAGGGGGTGGGAAAGACAGGCACTTCTGATAGGAGAGAACACCCCAGAGAGAAGGAATTGCAAGTTCAAAGTCCAGGAAAGAGAACTTTAATTACATTTTTCAAAGTATTTATACATATGTTATGTTTATTTATTTTGTAACCTTGAGTTATACAACTCAGAGTCTCAGTTTTCTTATCTGAAAGATGGGATAACAATCCCCACCTCCAGGGCAGACCATTAGGAAAATCCAAGATAACCGATAGAGCGTTCCTTGTTAGCATACAGCTATTTAAGAGTGTCTGGCACATAGTCTATGCTTCATAAAAGAAACTGCCTTTACTGTTGTTCTTACAGTTCTTCTTCTCTATCTTAATGTTTCCCTTTGCCTAATTTGTCCTACCTATTTTTAAATTATTTAATTTTGCTTGAGGTATTTCTCTCTCTAATTTATCTTGATTTTATTGTAGTAAGAACATTTAACATCAGATCTATTATTTTTAACAATTTTTTTTCACTTTTATTTTAGGTTCAGGGGTACATATGCAGGTTTGCTATACAGGTAAACTCACATTATGGGGGGTTAATTTCACAGACTATTTAGTCACCCAGGTATTAAGCTTAGTACCCATTAGTTATTTTTCCTGATTCTCTCTTTCCTCCCACCCTCCACCCTCAGGTAGGCCCCAGTATCTGTTGTTCCCCTCTTTGTATCCATGAGTTCTCATAATTCAGCTCCCACTTATAAGGGAAACATGCAGTATTTGGTATTCTGTTCCTGTGTTAGTTTGCTAAGGATAATAGCCTCCAGCTCCACCCATGTTCCTGCAAAAGACAGGATCTTGCTCTTTTTCGTGGCTGCATAGTATTCCATGGTGTATACGCACCACATTTTCTTTACCCAGTCTAGATTTTAACAGATTTTTAAGTGTACAATACATTGTTGTCTATGGATACTATGTTGAACAGTGGCAGCTCTCTGGAACTCATCTTGCATAACTGAAACTTTATTCCTACTCAATAATAGCTCCCTGTTTTCCTCTCCCTGTAGTCCCTGGCAAACCCCCTTTTACTCTCTGCTCCTTAGAAGTCCTCCTCACACATCATATTGGGGTAGGATACAGTTTCCTACCCCTTCCTAAAACAATCACAGGCAAGAGCACTGCCACTTACATAACAGGTTAAGAGTAAGTAGTGTACGCCCTGTACACATTGTGCCAACAGAAGGCAGGGAGATTGAAAGAATTTAGTAACCCAGGGGGTCTGCCAGCATAGAACAGTGTCCACTATGATCTTTTCTAACCCAAACGCAGCATTATGCACAGTTTATATCTTTATTTTAATGTGAAAACTGTGATGTGACTAGTAACACCTGGCTTCAGCGCACCATCTAATGAGAGCCTCTGTGTCAGAATGAATTGAGCTATAATAACTACTAAATTGACTCATAATGACTTACACCAAAAGGAGATTTATCATCCTATAGAATTAGAAATGCAGAGGAAGGATGGCCCTGAGGATGGTTAATTTAGCAGCAAAACAACATCACTAAAGATTCAGGAAAGTTCCGTCCTCTTTTTCCATTTTGATATCATTGAGGCCAGAAGGTCACTTGGTGTCTTCGTTTTAAAAACCAGGAGAACCCCGGAGCCCCAAGAACACTTTCCCTCATAATTCATTGGCAAGAATCAACTCATATGCCTCCAATTGAATGAAGGGGAATGAAATGATCAGGGATGGCCAAGGCTTTAAGCAAGACACGAACTCTAAGGATGCGGATGGTCTGTGCTTACTATGAGAACCTGATACCTGAAGTTAGGATTCCACTGGTAAGAAGAAAAAAGGGAGTGGGCAGTGGCTATTGGGAGACACTTATCATGTCTACCAGATACACATTTTCTTGTATGTTTATTTGTGCTAAAAGAAACACAAATTCTCTCCCTTTTCTTCTTAGACCAGAGAGGTCCAAGATATTTGGAAAGAGGAGAGGCTGTGCCAAGTAAAGATAAATAAGCCCACAAACCTCCCTAGAAGAGACACACACATATCCTCCACATCTGGATCAGGGTGGTGACGATGATGGTGACGGTAAGTGGAAAGTCTCAAGTTCCCCACATCTGCCAAAGTTGGAGCAGCTGCTACCAGGAGGGCACCAGATGGTATGTCCTTGCCTCCTGTACTGCTCAGAGTCCCAGCAGAAAACAGAATTCCATTCAGATGTTTGACCAGAGATTTTTTTTCCTTTCTTTTTTTTATTATACTTTAAGTTCTGGGATACATGTGTGGAACATGCAGGTTAGTTACCTAGGTATATGCGTGCATGGTGGTTGCAGCACTCATCAACCTGCCATCTACATTAGGTATTTCTCCTAACGCTATCCTTCCCCTAACCCCTCACCCCGCCGACAGGCCACAGTGTGTGATGTTTCCCTCCCTGTGTCCATGCGTTCTCATTGTTCAACCCCCACTTAAGAGTGAGAACATGCGGTGTTTGGTTTTCTGTTCCTGTTTTCATTTGCTGAGAACGATGGTTTCTAGCTTCATCCATGTCACTGCAAAGGACATGAACTCATCCTTTTCCTATGACTGCGTAGTATTCCATGGTGTATATGTGACACATTTCCTTTATCCAGTCTATCATTGATGGGCATTTGGGTTGTTTCCAGGTTTTTGCTATTGTGAATAGTGCTGCAATGAACATACGTGTGCATGTGTCCTTATACTAGAATGATGTATAATCCTTTGGGTATATACCCAGTAATGAAATTGCTGGGTAAAATGGTATTTCTGGTTCTAGATCCTTGAGGATAACCAGAGATTTTTTTTACAGTTACTATTTCTAAAGGCATGGGTAGGTTAAGAAAACTAGCAAGGGAGGATGAGACACCTAAGACTAACCACCGTGGGAAGTCATAAGGAAAGCTTAGCCTGAAGGGCCAAGAAGATGAAATGATCGTTGCAGATGCTAAGTGAAACTGAGGCAGTGGAGGAGGGGCCTTTGGGAGGAGCTGTAGCCTAGAGGAAGGAAACCAGCGTGAGACACATGGCCAGAGAGGCAATAGAGGCAGTGCTCTGATCTCTCTCACTTCCCAGCCTGTGATATCCATCTGGTGCCTGCTTCCATTGGCTGAGCCTGAATGTAGGCACTGGTGAAGGAGCTGGAGCCCAGTGATGCCCATGTGGAAGGCAGCCTCTCGGGGCTAGAGGAGAGCAGAGACAGATGTAGTTGGGATGACAAACAGATGGATGGGCTGATGTGACCCCAGGCAGGCCCCTCCACCTAGGGCATTCTTTCTCAAGAGCCTCGATCCCAGGCAGAGCCACGTGGCCTCTCAGAGTCAGTGAATCCACCCGCAGCCAGCAAAGGAACTCCTTTGGCTTTGGTTTGCTTCTGCTTGGTCTGTCTTTTATTCTCCTGCTCAGCACTTCTCCTTCTCCTCATTTTCCTGTCTCCTGCTTTTCTCTTCTTTGTCTTCTCTCTTCTTCTTTCTCTTCTGCTCAGTATCTCTCTGATTCTTGAAGCCTTTCACAGTCTAATAAGGGCCCTAAACTTCCACTGGAATCATGGAGAGCTCTTTTCTGTCCTTTTTTATTTTTCAGTGAATAACAGTCAGATTCAGGTAGGACAGGTTTAATTTTGAAACTTGAAAAATTGCTCAGGACTTCCTCTTCAGGAGATGAGCATTGGTCTTTTATCAAAAGAAAACAAGATTTTTGGTAGGGTTCTTTCAGGTAAATGTTTACCACTTACAACATACAGTAAGAGAAAAAAATGCTAAACATTATAAATAGTGTATTTCTTCACTTCCTTTACCATCATTTGCACATTCGTGCCTAGTGTCCAATGCTAGGTGTTACTTTCACCACTCAAGTGACTCTTGGGGCCCATCCTGACAGCTGTGTTTCAGGTTGGATGAAATGAAGCCTTTCCAATTGTTATACAATTGACTGTGAGCTACTTAAATCTGCCACTGATTAAGAATGACTGGTTATGAATCATTTCCAGTTCCCAAATATGATGATGAATTTGTGATTGCTCTGCAACAGTTTTCAAAACAAGATCTCATACCTTCCATCAGGAAGAGGGAAAATGGTTTCATTTTCAACACGGGAATTTGTTTCTCTGGTTGAGACATAAAACATGTGTCTTAATGGTTCTGCAATATGCTGGGATCTACTCTGAAAGGATAGTGATTCACGAAGAGATGGAGTGGGGTTTCACATCCTTTGAAGTCTAGAGTTGCCCAATCGCAGTCATGGAGCAACATGCAGCTGAGCATAATAGCCAACTGTTCCTAGGTTTGTCTTTAATGGTTAAACATGCCTCATGCGGTGTGTCAAAAGCTTATAAATTCCTAATTGGGGCAAGGCTGCTGTGGGTTTAGTTGCCAATAATGTGTTAATGTTGGATTCAGAGTGCCCAATTAGGATGGAACATAAAGCAATGCATGGCAGCGAATGAATACGAGATCACTCATGTTTCAGTGGAATTTTCTTTGAAGCTTCACAAAACTGGAGGAATAGCTGCGCAGATAACACTGACTTCACCTTATGGCCATATGCAGAGGGCTGAAGAAGTCCTGATAAACTAAAGTAGGTGCTTCCGAAGCTCCCTAAATAGGATTGGTTAAAGTGTGGGGATAGAGAGTTGGTCACATCCAGGATTTCTTCCCACCTCCTTCCTGTCATATCAGAATACATGTTACTGTGGCTAAAGTGACATTTCCATCCAGAAGCCAGGATCTGGTTTAGCTGTGTTTGTCTTCCTTCCCAGAGCTGAGTCATGAACGGCAGTTTGGAATCCTCCAAGGTTAAAGGTATCTTTTGTTCAGCCACTCGAGGCTGCTCTCTCACTGTGCTCAGTTACAGTCTAACTGGCATTTCCTTGTCAGTACTCTATGCTGTTGTGTAAAGCAGATTCAAGTTATTGTATTTGGTTCTTCTTATTTGTCCACTCACGCATGTCACTGTTTATGATGATCCTTCTATGATGAAGGCACTATTTGAGATGCCTGAAAACACAAAAGTGAGCAAGATAAACGAGGTCCCTGTTCTATTCTATTCTTGTTGAGGAGCTAGATAAGTAGACAAATGAACAAACTAATAAAATAATTTTAGACAGTGCTATAAGATATGAAAGGGCTAAAAATGGGTGATGGTGTAACGTAATTTGGGGGAGTTGAGTGATGGCCACATTAGATGAGGTGGTTCTCTCTGAGTGTGTGATTTTATCCTGAGATCTAAAGAATAAGAAGGAGTCAGCAATGGAATGATCTAGAGGAAGAGTGTTCTGGGTAAAGGACTCACAATTGGAGGAAGTCCTCAGGCAGGAAAGGGCTTGGTGTATTAAAGAAACAACAATAACATCAACAGAATCTGTGTGACTCTGCTCCATGAGAAAGAGAGTGGGGGGTAGGGGACTATGTCAGAGAGCAATGGGAGCTGGTTATGTGGGCCATGGTGAGAAGTTGGGATTTTGTTCAATCATAATCCACCCAACTGTTTTTTCACTCGCTATACTTCCTCTCTTCCCTGCTTATCCACGGTTTATCATTAAAATCATTCCCTTGAAAATATCCTGTCCTTTGGTATTAGTTATCTATTGCTGTGTAACAAATTAAACAAAAACTTTAGCAGTCTAAAATAAGAAGAATTTGTTGTCTCACACAGCATTTGTAGATCCAGAAACCAGGCTGGCTTAGTTGGGTGGTTCTGCCTGTAGGTATCTTATGAGGTTGCAGTCAAGCATTAGCCAGGAGTATAGTTATCTAAAGATCATACTGGGGCTGGGGGGTTCACTTCCAGATTGACTCACTCACATGCCTGGAGAGTTAGTCCTAGTTGTTGGCATGGGGCCTTAGTTCCTTGTCATGTGGGTCTTCCTATAGGACTTCTGAAGTGTCCTCATGGTATGGTGGCTGACTTTGCCCAGAGACAGTGAGCCAAGAAAATGGAAGGTGAAAGTCACTATGTCTTTTAGGGCTCTAGTTTTGGAAGTCATATTTCATTGTCTTCATAATATCTAATCAGTCATAAAGGCCATCCATACTCAGTGTGGGAGAGGAGAAGATCACACAAGGGCATGAATACCAGAAGACAAGGACCATGGCAGGGTGTCTCAGAGGCTTGCTAACACACCCTATCACCTCCTTTGTTCAAATCTTGCAAAACCTCAGCCCTGAGAAATCTAAAGCATTGCACTAACATCTCACCCATTGAAAAGCATACCAACATGCTGAGTGAACTCATTTTATGTTCATGATCACAAACATCAAATGAAATCTTCGTGCTGTCTGACTCTCCTTCTACATGCCCCTAGCCAATTTATTCTTTTCCATATCTTCATCTCTTTTATACCTGGTTTCATTCTTCATTTTGCCCAAAGTCCTTGCTTCTGATAAAATAGAAGCTATCAGAAGAACAATTCTACATACTTCCACCAATGAATTACCCACCCAGCTATACCCATATACTCTACCTTCTCACCTGTCACTACAGATGGTCAGCTTTTGTTTCTATACGTGTTTTAGTGTATTAGTCCATTTTCACACTGCTGATTAAGACATATCCGAGACTGGGAAGAAAAAGAGGTTTAATGGAGTTACAGTTCCACATGGTTGGGGAGGTCTCACAATCATGGTGGAAGGCAATGAGGAGCAAGTCACATCTTACGTGGATGGCAGCACCAAAGAGAGAGAGAGCTTCTGCAGGGAAACTCCTGTTTTTAAAACCATCAGATCTCATGAGACTTATTCACTATTGCAAGAACAGCACTCGAAAGACCTGCCCCCATAATTCAGTTACTTCGCACTGGTTTCCTCCCACAACATGGAGGAATTGTGGGCGTTACAATTTAAGATGAGATTTGGGCGGGGACACAGCCAAATCGTATCAATTACTTTCATGGAGCTGCCACAACTAAATACCACAAACTGGATGTCTTAGATCACATAAATGTACTGTATCCCAGTTCTGGAGGCTACAAGTCTAAAATCAAGGTGTCAGCAGGGCTATACTCCCTCTAAACACGCTAGGGCAGGATCTGTTCAGGTCTTTTTTCTGGTTTTCAGTGGCTTAGGGCA